CTGCAGAACATGATTGCAGCGGGTGGGAGGTGCTGTGAAGGAAAGGGAATTGCTGATCCACAGAGGTGAGCTCAGCTCTTACTTTTTTTTTTGCTGTGCACACACCAGCCCTGGAGCACCCAGGAGTCCACCTATGCCTGAATCTTATTATTGTACCCCTAACCCTAGGTCATCACCTTTCCTTCCCGGTTATTATTTGTTTTGTTTACTTGTTGCTGCTTGTTTCAATTAAATCTGAAACTCTTCAGGGCAGGGGCTGTCTTCCTATGTGTTCGCACAAGCACCTAGTACAATGAGCTCCCACAGCTGACTGGGGCTGTTCGGTAACACCAAGAAGAAGAAATCAGACCTTCCGCATTGATCCTAAGGCCAGCCGCCTGGCACTAGGAATTATGCTGCCATGGAGTGGGCTGTTGCGCCATACCAGGATAGTGGCAATAGATCTGGTCTCCTGCCGGGGGGCCAACGGTTCACAAGAATGTGGGTCCCAGCCCTGTGGTTTGTTCAGCAGGGAGCAAGCCCTACCCTGACAAGAAAAAAACCCCATGGGAAGAACCTGCAAAAAAGTGCCAGGCTTTACGCTGTGCTACCAGGTGCCAGGGTTTTGCCAGCTGCTCTCTTTGCAACTAGCACCAGAGCTGCGACCCAACTGGATCTTGTGTGCATGCAGAGCATGCTGTAAAAGCAGCACTGAGTTGGAACACCCATTAAATTAATTACTGCCAAAAAATAATTAATGCTTTAGATAGAGGTAATGCCCACTGTGTATTAGGTGCGGCCTAGGACAGAGGAAGAGACAGTCCCTGCCCTGCAGAACATATACAAATCCAACAGTGCAGCACCAGTTTGCATTTTTATGTCCCTACATCAAAGTAGCCACCAGAGGGGGCTCGTACTACCCACTGACTAGCTCAGAAGTGTAATGGGAAAAGGCTGCAAAGGTGTCGCCTTTGCCAGTGGGAATAACATTGGCAACTTTATAGACAGGAATAAAGGCTGATCTGAAGACAAAAATAACACTAAGGCTACGTCTATACTGCAGGCTTTTTGTGCAAGAACAGCTGTTGCACAGTCTTGCGCAAGTAAAGTTATAGTACAGTGTCAGAAAACGGGGCTTTTTCTGGAAGAATTATGCCTCTCCCCATGAGGAATCATAGAATACTAGGACTGAAAGGGACCTCACGAGGTCATCAAGTCCAGTCCCCTGCCCCCATGGCAGGACCAAATACTGTCTAGACCATCCCTGATAGACATTTATCTAACCTACTCTTAAATATCTCCAGAGATGGGGATCCCACAACCTACCTGGACAATTTATTCCAGTGTTTAACCACCCTGACAGTTAGGAACTTTTTCCTAATGTACAACCTAAACCTTCTTTGCTGCAGTTTAAGCCGATTGCTTCTTGTTCTATCCTCAGAGGCCAAGATGAACAAGCTTTCGCCCTCCTCCTTATGACACCCTTTTAGATACCTGAAAACTGCTATCATGTCCCCCCTCAGGTGTCTCTTTTCTAAACTAAATAAACCCAATTCTTTCAGCCTTCCTTCATAGGTCCTGTTCTCTAGACCTTTAATCATTCTTGTTGCTCTTCTCTGGATCCTCTCCAGTTTCTCCACATCTTTCTTGAAATACGGTACCCAGAACTGGACACAATACTCCAACTGAGGCCTAACCAGTGCAGAGTAGAGCAGAAGAATGACTTCTCGTGTCTTGTTCACAACACACCTGTTAATGCATCCCATAATCATGTTTGCTTTTTTTGCAACAGCATCACACTGCTGACTCATATTCAGCTTGTGGTCCACTATAACCCCTAGATCTCTTCCTGCCATACTCCTTCCTAAACAGTCACTTCCCATTCTGTATGTGTGAAACTGATTGTTCCTTCCTAAGTGGAGTAATTTATATTTGTCATTATTAAACTTCATCCTGTTTACCTCAGACCATTTCTCCAATTTGTCTAGATCATTTTGAATTATGACCCTATCCTCCAAAGCAGTCTCAGCCCCTCCCAGCTTGGTATAATCTGCAAACTTAATAAACGTACATTCTCTGCCAATATCTAAATTGTTGATGAAGATATTGAACAGAGCCGGTCCCAAAACAGACCCCTCCAGACTCCCACTAGTTATACCTTTCCCGCAGGATTGTGAACCATTAATAACTACTCTCTGAGTATGGTTATCCAGCCAGTTATGCACCCACCTTATAGTAACCCCATCTAAGTTGTATTTGCCTAGTTAAGAATATCATGTGAGACCATATCAAACACCTTACTAAAGTCTAGGTATACCACATCCTCCACTTCTCCCTTATCCACAAGACACGTTATCCTATCAATGAAAGCTAGCAGATTGGTTTGACATGATTTGTTCTTTACAAATCCATGTTGGCTGTTCCCTATTACCTTGCCACCTTCCAAGTGCTTACAGATGATTTACTTAATTACTTGCGCTATTATCTTCCCTGGCACAGAAGTTAAACTAACTGGTCTGTAGTTTCCTGGGTTGTTCTTATTTCCCTTTTTATAAATGGGCACTATATTTGCCCTTTTCCAGTCTTCTGGAAACTCTCCTGTCTCCCATGATTTTCCAAAGATGATAGCTAGAGGCTCAGCTCTTCCACAAGAAGGCAGTGTAGACAAGCAACATGATTTTTTTGTACAAGAAAGCCCTATGGCTAAAAGGGCCATCAGAGCTTTCTTGCGCAAGAGAGTGTCCACACTGCCATGGACGCTCTTGCGTAAAAGCACATGGCAGTGTGGTCACACTCTTGTGGAAGACCTTTCGTACAAGAACACTGGCGCAAAACAGTTCTTGCGCATGAAGCCTGCAGTGTAGATGAAGCCCTCGGGGAAAACAACCACAGCAGACAGTCCTGCACAAAAGGAGGAGCAATGTGTGTGAGGGGAAAGTGGGTTAAAGGTGAAGCGAATCCTGTTTGGAAACAGCCACTTCTCAGGGTTTGCCTCAGACACTGCCAGGGCACTGGGAAGAGCAGCCCTATTAAATCAGTGGCAGCTGACCTGCGGGGGCCACAGTGCACAGGAGAGCATGCTAGGTTGCTCTTTAGCCAGACACCGCTTAAGCATCTTCTCTGCACAGGGCAGGCTTTAACCTTAATGGGCACACAGCCCTGTGCTGGTATGTGGTGCTCCTCCCAACCTGTTCCACTTGCAGATAGGGGTGTAAAGCAGGGGGACAAACCTTTGTATTCCCGTTGTTCAGCGATCACATCGAGCTGCCTCTCCCCCTTCACCCCCCCACACGCTTCCTTGCCAGAGTGCTTGCTGACCACACACCTCCACTCCATGCAGTCGGCCAGAAGCTGGGAACAGGTTGCTGCAGTTTTTCCACCAGGAGGTGAACACCACTTTGGGATAGTGAAGGGGGCCATATAGCTGCCAAATTTAAGTTTCCATGATGATAAAAAGGACATTTGTATAATTGCAAAATATGGTGCTTGTTGCATTAAAAACATGCTCTGTATGCACTATATGTGAAGTTTACTATGTACATTCTAAAAATATAACAAGGAAAAAGATGTCAGTTACCCTCTGTAGCAATCTAATCTAGTGCTTCTGGTCTTCAGGTTATAGCCCATTGCTTGTAAACAAAGGCCAGTCTAAGCAAATTGCTCTTAGACCGCTCTGGATAAAGTGTTTTCAGAATAGCTTCCTGCCACCTCATCAATGCCTGGTCTACACTACAGCAGAAAGTTGACTTATGATCCACCACTCCGGCTAAGTTAATTATGTAGCTGGAGTCAACGTATCTTAAATCTTGTTTCAGCACCATCCACGCAGAGGGAGGTCAATGGGAGCAAATACTACTGTTGGCTTCCCATTACTCCTAAAGAGCAGGAGAACCAGCCCTGATAGGGGGCACCCTTTGAGTTCAATTTAGTGGGTCTTCACTAGACCCACTAGCTCAAACCCTGGAAGATCCTTCTGGTAGTGTAGACGTGACCCTTGTTGTAGCACCGAGAAATGTAGGTGGTAAACTGCAGTAATGGCATTCTGTAGCTTGTTCCACTTTGATGTTAGGAATCCATTTCTGAAGCACTCTTGTCACATTATGACACGTCCCCCAAATCTATTAAAAATGAATTCCCCCCCTACGTTAAGAATAACTGAAAAAGCCAGTGTGACTTTCTCATATATAAGCTAGCTTTGAGTTCAGCATGGCTGCGTCTAGATGGGCATGATTTTCCGGAAATGCTTTTAACAGAAAAGTTTTCCGTTAAAAGCATTTTCGGAACAGAGTATCTAGATTGGCATGGACGCTTTTCCGCAAAAGCACTTTTTACGGAAAAGCGTCCGTGCCAAGCTAGACGCGCTTTTCCGCAAAAAAGCCCCGATCGTGAAAATGGCGATCGGGGCTTTTTTGCGGAAAACAAATCTGAGCTGTCTACACTGGCCCTTTTGCGCAAAAGGGACTCTTGCCTGAACGGGAGCAGAATAGTATTTCTGCAAGAAGCACTGATTTCTTACCGTAGGAAGTCAGTGCTTTTGCGGAAATTCAAGCAGCCAGTGCAGACAGCTGGCAAGTTTTTCCAGAAAAGCGGCTGATTTTCCGGAAAAACTGGCCAGTCTAGATACAGCACAAGTATAACCAATTACAAGAAAAATGGTAATGTGTGGAATAACTTGAATGTTTGCAAACGGGGGCTCTGAAAGGAGAACCTATCTCAACCATAACTAAAGTACTACCATTCTGGTGCAGGACTTCTGTACACATTGATTACAGCTTCTATAAATCAGAGGGGCTTTTAACACTTTTTATTTTCTTCTCCTCGTTTATTACCATGCAAGTGGACCCTGGTGGTGTTACTTGAGAACGATTTATTATTAAGACAGGAAATTCTCAGGAGAGTCACCATCTGTGTTCAAAGATTAAGGGCTTGGAAAACTCTTCAGGGAAAGGATAAAACAATTACCTCCACTGAACACTTTCACAGAGTGTTTTGACAATTAAACCACAAAACAGTAGGTTAGAAATAATCTTTATTATCCATACCTCCCATACAGTTTTCAGACTATAGTTCAGAAACATAGGATGAGATACTGTCCATGTCCATTTTAGTTTATACTTTAATAATAAATTGTACCTAGATATTGACTATGATATTATCTCTCTCTTTCTTGTAAAAGGTATTTCTGTTAGTGCTTGAACAACTGGAAATCAGCATTTTGGACCAAGTCAAGTGAAGGCCGTCATCTGAAGAGGCACCGTCAATTTGTAATCTAGTTGGTTTCTCCAAATGAGTTAAATGCAATTTCTCCCTGTGTATTTTGGAGAACTTTTGTCACTCCCTCCCCGCCATGAAGTTGTGAGAGAGACTCCCACAAAGTGGTAATCTTCCCACAACCTGTGCTTAAGTGCTCTGCCTCAGGCTGGGATTCGGCAATGAGCTCCACTTTGGCTCCCATTACCCCTTCACAGAACACCAGGTTCTGTGTGGGCAGGTTTCAGTCCATGAGGTGCTCAATGCCTCAGGACTGAAGCATTTAGTGTACAGCTACTCTACATGGCAAGCAGTGCCAATACACAATATACTGCCCAATGTACAAAAAGGGGAAAGATGCAGCTTGACTTTCTTTCAATTATAATTGGTTTAGAGATGGTTTGGTATTGGCAGATACAAAATTGTAAAGGAAGTGTAACGGTGCCCCTTTAAATTGTGTTTACAGCTCTCCAGAACCAATAGCTTGAAATTATAAATGCTTCATTGACATTCAACAAATTTTAAAATTGGAAAATCAAAGCTAATCAGTTGCTTTTGTGCGCAGTTGTCTCCCTGAGACTAGCTTTACAGAAAACAAACCATGTACTGTACCTACTCAGTTACGAGGCTATTTTCTTGAAATGCAGTGAAGAGGTTTTAAATTAGTATTTAAATTAGAGAAATCTACTCCTACCCTGTTTGTAATAATAAATCATCTGCAACTAAACAACCATTCATCCACCTTGCAGGAAAAATCAGTATCTTATGCCACTGTAACTCAGTGTAGCTCCACTGCCCTTTCCTACCATTCTGATTCACTGTGCCTTGGCATAGCTACTGTTCCTCCCCTGTGTAGCTTTTATATGTATAGAGATACGTAACAGCATGGAAACAGCTTTCATGGCTAGCATAATGCCCATATACAGTATGTTATATTAACCATTCTGCAATGTCCCATCTACAGTACTCATAAATGTCTTGCATTAAGACTATTATCGCAGCATTTAACAAGTGTATAACCAGTGACACAGTAAAAGAATGAGCTCACAATACACGGCTAATGTAAAAACATTTTTTTAAACTGGAATTCATAAAATACAAGCCATTTTGAACAACTTTTTCTTTTTAATCAAACCTGTTGGCATGAATCCGAGGTTTTTTTCAGCTGATATAAGTTCTGTTTGTATTACATATAGGAAGATTTCATTCACATGAAATTGCACAAGTCAGAATATCTATCAATATGCATAAATATTGAAACTAATTAAAATTTTAATAAGCAATACTTACATAGTCCTGGTTATACAGTCCTAACGGCTTAATAATAAAAGTTTTAAAAGAAATAGAGAAAGAGATATAGGGTAAGGAGGCCTCTAGGAGAGGCCAAAAATCAGGGGTCAGCTTGCTCTTCCACTTTTGAAACAGAGTATAGAAAAAAGTTACCTTGTCTCCTCGCAGAAACAAAATACTGTATGTTGAAAGTGTGTCCTTTCATAAATTTGAATTTTTAGAATACAAAATTCAATTAAGCCCTAAAACTAATAATATTGGTAGAATAAGAAGTGTTTACAGAAATTAGGGGGAAATACCCTCCTAGTATAATCTGCAGAAAACATTTAAAAGGGAGGGGGGTTTTCTTCAGTAGCTGAAGTAGTTTGAAACAGGAGGAGAGCTCTCCTTCCACCAGCTAAGGGGGAGCTCACGGAAGCTGAACTGAGGGGGAAAGGCTGCGCCCTTCTACTTTTTGGCAAAGCCAGGATACATTTGCACTCCTTCCAGATCTCCTTTAGTGTGACTCCCTTGCCATTCACTTTTGGGCAGCATTCATCACTTTTGACTGAGACTTCTTTGTATGAACTGATGGCCCAATATTCAAGCTGCAGTGCAGCCCAAACCTACTCTCACCCAACTGATGTTAGTGCAGAACTGCCATTGGTGTGAATGGTGCAGGATTGGGTCCCCAGAGTCTGATGCAAGTCATACTAAGATCATCGAGGAAGGCTTGTATAGACTTCAACTGGCTTTGAGCAGGTCCATAATGTTTTGAACATGCAAGGTTAATAGGAGTTCTGCCATCAGAAGGTTTGCGGGATTGTGCCCATACTGAAAGGTTAATGTGAGGTGTAAGAACCCAACAGTTAGTGTTTCACTGTATTAAGACCTTACAGGGTCAATCTTGAACATAAGTCAATTAAACATGAAAGTAAAAAGAGAATTTTCCTCTCCCACATTATGATAGTCACATGGACTAGTTATCACATTGCTGCTTTAGCATTTTAATTCACAAGTCTGTGGTGTCACTTCTTGCTGTAACAGAGGAAACCCAATTCCATAAGGAGCCACTTTTTACAGTGGAAAGCAGCAGAGTACAAAACCCTTATGTTTGGGAATTTTTGAGTCTGGAATAGAGCCCTAAACCTCCAAAACTCTGTTTTATTAAAAAAAATTGGGGCATCTCTTTGGCGTATACAAAAAAAAGTTCTTCAAAAACCATACAGCTCCAATATTTATATACAGACTTGGGGAAAGGAATAACATGAAAAGACAAAGGTGTCTCTCACATTTATGTATTCAACTCTGATTTGGCAGTCAAGTAGCAAATCGGTATAGTGTAAGAAAGGAATAGTCACAGAACATATATATTAAAAAAAAAAAAAAAAGGAACGAAAACCCAAACAAGCCTGCAATCTAGATATTAGATGGATATACTTTTCCTGAAAATTTTCCTTGATTCTGGAGGAAGAATTGATGGATTCTGTTGCTCATCTGGTAGCTGTGCTGAAGGCATGAATTGTGTCCAACAGCTTTTTAACCAATATCAGCACAAGGTAAGAACCTTAGCTGCAACAACTAATCAATCCAAATAGTACCCTGAACAATTCTCTTTCATTTAATAGCCACTGTTGAGCCACACATTATAAAGTTGGACCTGACTGCAATTTTCGTGCCATAGTATTTCTTATATTAACAAATATAGCAAATCAGCATATTTGCTGATTTTTCTAAAAATTATAAATGGTTAGCTAATTAGTTCAGCAATACGCAAAGTGCATCTATTTTAGTTCTTTCCATAGATCACCTGCTTTTGCAAGTTTAACTACTTCACAGTTTAAAATATTGTGAAGAAGTTATATGTATATATTTTATGTAGAACAATTTATTTACATCCACAAATATATACACATACACAATTCTGTACTTGATATAGTCATAAACACCTACTATGTAGCTATTTACATTATAGACAGACGGTGTGTGTATGTACACTAAATAATGACATTGACTGAAAATATTCCATGAAATTTCATGGAGTAAGAACAGTGAAAACATGAGTAAATTTGTTAAGAGCTTTCAATCAAACAGGGCTACATGCATTAGATATAGGAAAGCCCAACTGTCATCTTTCTTATTTCCCACACAACGACTAAACGTCTGATTTTCACCAGAGGAAGCTGACAGTTCTTTCTGTTGAGTGAATAACTTACTAGTCAGTACCCATTCATTAAGATGATTCTGGATATCTTGCAGAACTCTGAATGCCATGTTGCTAACCACTGAAAGTATTTACTCTGAAGGGTTATTGCAGTGTTACAATATACCAATCACTCAGAGTCCATGAGGTTGTCTTCTCCAACAAATGGTACAAACACATAAATATTTTAGCACAAAATATACAGCTTAACGTGAGACAAGTTCATGTATAAATAAAGAGCTAAAGGCCTATGGGTGCACTTTAAAGGCCAAAAGTTCCTCAGAGTGCATATTGTTTAAGGAACGCAAATCAGGTAATTTCAAAAGAAGTTTTGTAAAAACAGAGGCTTCGTTGGGATGGTTTTTCATAATTAAGGTCCTTAGCGCACGAATTAGTGTCTCCTGCAGCGCCTCCACAGAGTTAACATTTTCTATTCCAGATCGATCTAGAGAGACAGGGAGAAAAAAAAGGCAGGCAGACACAGCTTGCAGATAAAACAATATTACAAGTCAATTGTCCAAATAATGAATATAGAAAAAATATTAAAAACATGTAAGACTTTCAAACCTGGGTGCCTTAAATGAGTCTCCCACATCCTTATTTACACCCTGATTCAGCAAAGCTCAGATACAGGCAGGCAGTCCCATCTCTATTCAGCTAAACAAAGCACTTAGGGTGCGTCTACACTGCACCCATGCCTCAAAATAAGGTATGCAATTTGTGCTACACAAATTGTGTAGCTTATTTTGAGGTAATTTTGAAATAGCTTCTTTCAAAATTTGATGCTGTCTACACAGCGCCAAATTTCAAAATAAAGCGCTATTCTGAAACATTCCTTATCCCCTGTGGAACAAGATTTATACAAACGTCGGAATAGCAAGCCCGTTTATATTTCAAAATAACGAGCGCACTCAAAAGACACAGAATAGTTATTTCAGGATACTTCCAGTATCCCAAAATAGCTCCGCAGTGGAGACTTAGCCTCACTGAAGAGAAATGGATTTAAGCACGTCTAAAGTTAAGTGTTAAAGTGCTTTACTGAATCAGTGCCTTGCGTGCACAATGAACGCTGCCTAACATTTTGGTGCTGCTTCACATTCAGCAGCTTTCACTGACTTTAAACAGGAACCGCAAGTGCTCAGCACTATAGAAAAATCTGAATTTAAAACCCTAGCTCTAAGGTCTTGTTTTTTAAAATCATCATCTTGCAGAAGGTATATAAGCCAAGTGTTTGTTGCTCTCAGCAGTCACTGATTTATGGAAACGGAGCAAGTTCAACACTTTCCAGTACTATACCCCATTTCAGACTATAGTTAGCTCAAGCACTGATAACAGACTGATGTGCTAGAACATGCTTACCTTCCCTTTTTCAAGAAAAAATATTCCACTCAGATTCTGCCTATCTCAAATACAGAACAGAATAGTTTGTGAGCATATATACAGAGCCATCTCCCCACACCCACATGACTCAAGTAATGGGATCAGGCAGAAACGAAATCCTGCTACACGTGGAAATACAAGAACTACTCCTTCCCCACATTCATGTGGAATCCCAAAGGTGGATAGAAAGGGAGGTAATGCCATTGCTCCGGCTTCTCTTATGTAGTGGCTAGCAAAGCGGGAGACTAACAAAGTGAGAGAGAATAAGCTGCATTCCCAAAGAGCTGTTGAAGTTGGCCTGCAGTCTCCACCTGCTGTTGCTGCTTTGGTTTTTGTTACTTCGACCTTCTGCCTAAGCGTTTAAGACACACAACTCCAGCTGCATAAATTGCATAGCTGGAGTCAATGTATCTTACATAGCATTTTCGCACCATCCACACAGTGAGAGGCCAACGAGAGCAAATGCTCCCGTCAGCTTCCCTTACTCCTCGTGAGGAGCAGGAGTATTGGCACCGACAGGGGCACCCTCTTAGTTCAATCTAGCAGGAAGATTGACAGGACAGTATCAATCTTCAGTATAATGTAGATGTGCCCCCAACGTATCTCAGCAGCAACAATGTGAAGTGATGCAATTTTTAATTGCTGTTTATCAGGCTCTACGTCAAATCCAGGTTAGTTTTTAAATATTCAATTTTACAAAGAGATTGACTTAAAGACCTAATTCAGAAAGTATCACCATTCAGAAAGGGTGCTTAGTTATGTGCTTACCTTTGAGCTTGGGCTTATGAGCTTTCCTCAACTGGGACCTAAATTTGGACTAATTATATGCAGTATTTTGAATAATAAATCCTCCAAAAGTGAGACATTTCTTTAAAATTAGCTATATACTTTGAAAATACTTTCTATAGCTGTTACAAACTACAAACTGTGCATTCCATTTTTAGTCCTGGATTCTGCAGGTACAGTGGCAAATGCCTAACTTTAAGCATGTACATAATCCCCCTGAATTTGACAGGACAAACATGCTTAAGTGAGGCATGCGCTTAAGCACCTTGCAGAATGAGGTCCTAAACCACCAGTGAGAAATAAGATTTAGTATGTGAGCTATCTGAAACAGAAGTAAGATGAATTTTAGGGCCGGACTGTAAATCCCTTACTTACATGGGAAAGAATGAGATTACTCACCAGTGGTACCACTCAAGTGAATAAATGCTCATTCATGGCAGTAAGGAAAACCAGGCTCATAGTTCTCACTCTCGACCTATAACTTGTCTGGCTGTTGAAACTTTTTGGAAAGGGTATTTTACTACAGCAGTGAGACAGAAGCAGCAGAAAAAAATAGATATTTTCTTATTTTCTTTTAAACAGAAGTGTGGGTTACATAGTAATAAAAGACATCCCTACACATCTGCAAATCAGACCTGTTTTTCACATATGCAATTTCCTACTGGCCAGAGCTGTAAAAGTTTGAGCTATGGGCTGCCAGGAATTTAGAGAAGACCCATTAAATCCTTCAAGGCAATATAATCAGGCTTGATGTATATATTTTACAAGGGCCTTCACTCTAATGACAACAGTATTCAAAGGCGTAGATTAACTTTCTTTCCTTACCAGCAGAGACCAGGACAACAGCTGTAAACAAACTCATTTCCTCATCACTAAGTTGCAGACCATTTAGTTTCTCACTAAATTCAAACATGGAGTTAAGCAGATCACCAGCTCCCATTGAATGCAGGTCATCCACTCTGTACTTCTTTCCACTAAGAAAGGTGACAGTACGTTCCTTGGCATCAAACAAAGATGCAAACCGTACCATTAAAACCTGGCAAAAGAGGGGGGAAAAAAACTTTGGTAGATTTGTATAGATCTAAGTGAAAATACAGCTAATTTTACAACACTCCAATTAGTTTGATTAGAAATAGATACTACTCCACTTAGCTCTACAGAATTATGCAAGCTACATACATCCTGGAAGTCTGGGAAAATAAGGAAAACTAGCTGTTGTTTCAGGCAGGGAAATGGTGAGGAGTGATAACAGAGCTAAAATTTAAGCCTCAGACATCCTGAGCCATAAAGAAAGTACCATTCACAAATGGAAATTCACCAGTATGAGGGCTTACTTAAAGCTACCAAGCAAACAAAAACATTCATTTGAACGTGGGTCCTTGGAAAGGCTAACACAGCAGAGCTTGAATTGGGAATATATTTTTGGTATAGGCACCCGTTTTGGCATATTTACAACTGTCAAAATCTGCCTCCTTGTTTTCAGCTGTACTGTGAAGATTTTCCATATAGAATGGTTAGTAAGGTTCCATTTGCTCAATGTGTAACAACCCCTTACATTTTCCATTGTTTCAATACAATGCACAGAACTGCTACCTTCAGACTTGGATAAACTAAAACAAACTTTGTTTTAAAACATCCAGCTTATTTTCTCTCAAAATCAAAACCAGCTGGTGGTGTGCAGTAAGGCTGCTAAGAAGCAAGTAAATGACTAATCACATATTCAATACAATTTATATCGAGTACACGATTAATCGATAAGAAGACACCAAGGCTCTGCAGTTTAAATGCAGTAGAAGCCAGGCATGCCGGGGGTAGGGCCAGGTCCTGCACTGCGCCTTCAAAAATTTCTGAAGTGGCCCTGGGCCACGCCGGAAAGGGCAGGGCCTCAGGCAGAAGGGGTGAGGCCAGGGCACTTCCATGCATCCCCACCCACAGACCCTGGTCAGTCTGGTGGTAGGGAAATGCAAAAAGCCTTTGTCCCAACCCCAGAGAGAACTGCCAGCTGTTCTAAACAGCTGGTGGTTCCCTCTAAGTACCCGTGCTCCTTGCAGGGTGGGAAGAGACTTCACACACTCCCTCTGCCCCCAAGCTCTAATTGGCCTTGGGGCAGGGGAAACATGCGAAGTCTCCTCCCACCCTGCCCCTGTTCTGCAAGAAGCGTGTGGTGCTTAGAAGTGCTGCACACCTCGCAAGGCGGGAGGAGACTTTGTGCACTCTCCCCCCCGCCCCCTGACCCTGATTGGCCTGGAGGCAGGGGGAGTGGCAGGGCCTCTGTGGGCCGGATCAATTTGCTTGGTGGCCCGGATGCGGCCCACAGAAGCCCTTTTGCCCACCCCTGCATCACTAGCTTAAAATAATGACTCTTCTAGATCAGCATTGCTTCAATTCTAGTCTTCAAACCATATGGCCCACTCCTCAGCTGCTATAAATACCAGCAAAGTTCAGCTGAAGCACTTGAGGCTACACCTGTTCACACTAGTGAGGATCTAGACCTAAAATCTTGAGTGTAAAATAAAATCTAGACTCCAGGTCAGTGTTCGCCAGAAGTTCTTACATTATTAACCAGATGATATTAATTTACATACAATAATTAATACCATATGCAGACATGACTTCTCATAAACAGCTGGCTGTGCTAAGGCCTATCACTAATGACCCAACTATCAGCCATGTTGTAGACACTATGTAGCACCCACAGTGTACAGGTTGAACCTCTCTAGTCTGGTACCCTTGGGACCTGAGCAGTGCCAAACCAGAGAATTTGCCAAACCATATTGTCTAGCAGCATTACCAACACTTCCACTGCTTACTGGGCTCTTAGAAGACTCCTAGCGGTAAATTAGCTCTAAATAACAGCACAGAACACTGAGAGCCAGGACGGGTGGCTGTAAACAAACTTTATGGGACTGCAGAAAACTTGGCCATACCCATGTTAAGTGGACATCCAGCTCACTAAAATCATGCTGGAACACAGATGTTGCTGGATCAGAGAGTGCCAGACTAGAGAGGTTCAACCTGTAGTGTATTGCTGAGTAAAGTTTCATGTGTTGACACCTGGGGATAATAGAGGCTCCAGTGACTGTAGTATCACTGGAGGGACTCCTGTGCAAATGGAACCACTCAGGTCATATTGCAGGAGAGATTTTAGGCAGCATCAGGGACAGGTGCAGAACAGGGACTATGAGGCTCTGTGGGGCGACTAATTCAGATTAGACCCACAGAAGTAAGGTTGTTACCTGCAGCCACAATGTCTCCCTATCGCCCCTTGCATCAAGATCCTCAGCTGGTATAACCGGCTATAGTTTTATTGACATTAATAGTTCTATGCCAGTGGTCTCCAACCCGTTGATCACAATCGACCGGTTGATTCAGTGTCTCCAACAGTCGATATCCGGGTTCCCTCTGACCTGCATGGCTGTGTACAAGAAATTTTAGGTCTGTCCTCATTCGCATAGCCATGCAGCAGAACTCACCAATACTCACTTTCCTGCTGGAACGGAAGGTGAGTGGTGGTGGCAGTGTCCTGGTGGGTTCTGGCCAGGTCGCATGATGGGCGAGCAGCGGCTCCCCTTTGCTCTCGCTGGAGCCGGGGTGCAGTGAGGCTGTTGCTGTTGGAGCAGCCTCAGCAGACAGAACGCTGCAGCCAGCTGGCCGGGCCACGTGGCGGTGGGAGGCTGCCCCCACCTTTGCTCCAGCTGGAGCACTGGCAGATAATGTGCAGTCACAGGTGTCACACTGAGACTTGGTGAGTAGAGGACAAGATATAGAATTATAAATACTTGATTTTAGATATATAGCGCATAAATTAAAAATAGACGGTTTATTCTACAACATTATCTTGGAGTAGATCTTGGGTTGCATGTAAATTCAAAAAGCAATCTTGCGCTGAAAAAGGTTGGTGATCACTGTTCTATGCCATTATACCGATTGAGGATCTGGCCCCATCTCACTAATGGAGCAACTGCATACCCAGGGGGAAGTCTGATTCCAGACAAAGACACGTTCATCTCTATTAATAAGACATAAGAGTGCTGCACAGTCTGCCAGCCCATCGTCTAAAGCCTGAAGGATTTTGGCAACGCATCTGCTGTGATTCTCACCTCAAAGGTCCCAGCCTTTAGCAGATTGACCTGGTCGTGCTGGGAAAGATCTCGGAACCCTGGAATGCGTTTTGCGAACTCCACCACTTCTTTCACTGCAGGGGTGAAGCTCATGGAAAATTCTTCCCAGACTTCATGGCCAGACTTAAGTGGGTCCACAAAGGGCGTCTTGCTCATTGGACAAACCTAGAAATGCCACGCACACAAAACACCCCTCTTAAAATTATATTCCAAGTTTAAACCAATTTCTGAAAGAAGCAGACTCATTGATTAGGAAATCATCACACTACTGATACGACACATAAAACAGGAATATTCATTAGTTAACTAAGTAACAGGGATATTTTATGCAGCTACAGTAAATATCTGTTTAAATTTTTGCTAACTTTGGCTTCTCCAACAGTGTAATTAGAGAAAGTTGCTACCACTCAGGGAATCAAAGTCAAACACCCCATTTCAGATCTCACTCCCTCTGGCTTCTTAGGGTTACCCCATAATCTGCCTCATCTCATTGTAAACCAGGAACAAATAATCTACATTGCTCATTTACCCCTGGAATGGGCAGGGGAAGAGCATGTTCAGGCTCTAGATGTCATCCTGGGGCAGCAGTGACAAACTCCAGTGTCAAACAAACTCTGAGGGGCTCAGATTTTAGGCTCACCATGACACCCAAGGCTTGTCTGAAATCTAGACAGACTAGCAAGACTGAGAATTATTAACAATGCTGCAAGGCTTACAGCCACAACTGGAGGTCTGAACTCCATAAAGAAATCCTTGCCCCAAACAGGCTTACAAATAAGGGGATTCTCATTGAAGTGAGAAAACCTTGAAGCATAATCAAAAATTAAGAGGTGGATAAATTTCGCCAATCTGTACCCAAAACACATTGGCTGTGTCTAAACTGGCCAGTTTTTCCGGAAAATCAGCCGCTTTTCCGGAAAAACTTGCTAGCTGTCTACACTGGCCGCTTGAATTTCTGCAAAAGCACTGACTTCCTACTGTAAGAAATCAGTGCTTTTTGCGGAAATACTATGCTGCTCCCGTTCAGGCAAAAGTCTCTTTTGTGCAAAACTTTTGCGCAAAAGGGCCAGTGTAGACAGCTGAGATTTGTTTTCCGCAAAAAAGCCCCGATCGCGAAAATGACGATTAGGGCTTTTTTGCAGAAATCGCGTCTAGATTGGCCACAGACGCTTTTCTGCAAAAAGTGCTTTTGCGGAAAAGCGTCCGTGCCAATCTAGACGCTCTGTTCCGAAAATTAAGAGGTGGATAAATTTCGCCAATCTGTACCCAAAACACATTGCCTGTGTCTAGACTGGCCAGTTTAATGCTCTTTTCCATTAAAAGCATTTCCAGAAAATCATGCCAGTCTAGACGTAGCCATTCAGAAAAGACAGGATTTGTAATTATGGAACATCACAGAACAAGAACTGGAGTATTTTCTATGTTCCCCCTTCCTGGTCCATTCCATCAGGTAAAAACACAAAAAGCCTACTTTAAGGAAAAGAGTCAGCTACTGCAAGGTAAAGAGGGAGGGACTTACTATAATTGGGGGCAATATGTTGGAAATACAAGCAGAGGTGTTTGAATTAAATTAGTTAAGGTGATCAAAGAGGCTGTAACAAGGAAATGCTTTCTGGTATAATGCTGCGACTGAACACTCTTAGATGAGAAGTGATAAGGAAAGGGAGGGACCCCTCCTTGTAACTCCTATCCCTACGGGTACATCTACACAGCAGCATTATTCCAGAAAAACTGATATTATTCCTAAATAACATAGTGCACGTCTACACTACAGTAATAGAGATGTAGCCGTGTTAGTCTGGTCTTGCTGAAATACAACAAGCCTTTATTTCAAAATAATGTCGAGCTGGAGGACTTCTTATTCTGACTCATGGTAACTCTCATTTCATGAGGAGTAAGGGAAGTCAAAGGAAGAGGGTTCTTCCCTCAACTTCCTGCTGTGTAGAAAGCGCCAAAAGTCGAATTAAGCTATTTCAACTTAAGCTATGCAATTGATGTAGCTGAAGTTGCAGAGCTTATTCCGACTTTAGCCCTGCTGTGTAGAGGCACCTAAAGAGTTTAAGGCTGTGTCTACACTGGCATGATCTCACGCAAAAGCGACCACTCTTGCGCAAAAACTTGCTGCCTGTCAACACTTGCCGCGTGTTCTTGCGCAAGTAAACTGACGTTCTAATGTATAAAATCAGGGATTCTTGTGCCAGAACTCTGCCGCTCCCACTCTGGAAGACGCCCTTTTGTGCAAGAGCTCTTCCTGAAGAGGCCAGTGTAGACAGGAAGCATGAATTTCTTGTGCAAGAAAGCACTATGGTTAAAATGGCCATCAGAGCTTTCTTGTGCAAGAGAGCGTCTACACTGGCATGGATGCTCTTCCGCAAAAGCACATCTCTTGTGCAAAAGCACATGCCAGTGCAGACGCTCTCTTCTGGAAGAGTTTTTGCAGAAGAACTCTTCCGCAAAAGAATTTTTGTTTGAGAATGTGCCACTATAGACGTAGCCTAAGAGTTTAAACTGTTGTAGGGATAGAAGGATAGGTTTGTTGAGGGCATCCCAGAATACTCCAAATCCAAATGTTTTAAATAGTCTATAAAAACACTTGATCTAAAAAAAAATCCAATAAATCTAGCCCTAATTAATTTTTTTAAATTACCTTCCTGATAAGTCTCAGAGAGGTAGCCATGTTAGTCTGTAACTGAAAAAACAACAAAGTTCTACAGCACCTTAGGGTATGTCTACGTTACCCCGCTAGTTCGAACTAGCGGGGTAATGTAGGCATACCGCACTTGCAAATGAAGCCCGGGATTTGAATTTCCCGGGCTTCATTTGCATAAGCCGGCCGGCACCATTTTTAAATGCCGGCTTGTTCGAACCCCGTGCCGCGCGGCTACACGCGGCACGGGCTAGATAGTTCGAACTGTGGGTTCAGGATTTTATCCCTAGAGTCAAGCTAGTTGATTTTTACTCCATTTTTACTAGTCCTTTTGTAGTTGCTCATCTTATCAGAAAGTGGGTTGTGCCCATGAAGGCTCATTTTACCATCTACATTTTGTGTTAGTCTCTAAGGGTATGTCTACACTACCACCCTAGTTCGAACTAGGGTGGTAGTGTAGACATACCCTTAGAGACTAACACAAAATGTAGATGGTAAAATGAGCCTTCATGGGCACAACCCACTTTCTGATAAGATGAGCAACTACAAAAGGACTAGTAAAAATGGAGTAAAAATCAACTAGCTTGACTCTAGGGATAAAATCCTGAACCCACAGACGTCCTCAATGGCTTCCAGGGACCAAGGCTGCACTTTAGAACTTGTGTTTGGATACTTTTTAATGTATATTTCAAGTTAATGTATTTAACTTTGTAAATTATTTTAAAGGTTTTTATCCCCAGGAACCGAAGGATTTACTGAGTTATATGGCTCACTTTTCAAAGAAACCCACTGTAATGATTTTCAACTATATCTTTTATGTGCTTTAGATGAAAATAAACCATCTAGCAACTAAAAGCATTGTCAGAAGAACTCTCACTTTTTTTATTTCAAATCCCAAACAAGTGCAAATCATTGATCTCTATCCAGTAATTCTTTCCCACTAAACTCTGCTGGGTGGTATTTGGGGCTCCACTATGGACTAAATTCACCTGTGCACAACTTCACTGATTCAGGGGTTACATTTGCCCCCCTATGTATTTATATATAATTAAAAACATAGCAAAAGAGTCTCCCTGAAGCAGAAACAATAGACATTACTGTACCAGGTGCATTCTCCCTCCAGTGTTGCATGAGTAAATATTCAAGTTCTCATTTGCAGAAAACCCATCTTCTGGGATCCTATCACACATTCCTTGAGTATAACCATTGGAAAAGTTCAGAGAGTGGCCATTTGCAAAACAAACGGTGCGCCCATTTGGATAATGTGTTACATTTGTCCCTTTGTACTGTCCAGCAAGATGTTGTTCACTCTCAATATATTGGGTGTCACTGAGACCACTGCCACAATGGTCACTATTCAAGGTATATTGCTCTGGGTGCTTTGGAATTCTTTTCCCACTCTGTGGCTGCATGGCCTCCACTGGGTTTTCTGATTGTTCCTGGTTGTACATGAAAGTGTCCTTGTGGGCTCTGGTCACCATTCCAATCACTTCTTCCTTCGCAATGTCAGAGGAAGGAGGAGGAGAGGGACTTTTGATGTTTTCTAGCTCGTGCTGGGGTTTGGGTATAAGCTCTTCTTGAGACAATGGGGGCGTTTGTTCCTGATGTTCTGTTAATGCATCATTTGGCAAGTGACCATTGAACTGACTGTTCATCATGGTCTTCATGGCACTTTGCATTTCGATCAGCATTCTCTGTTTTTCCCGTTTAGGAATGCGGCCAAATCGAACAGCTAAGGAAAAAAAAAAAGGCTTTAGTTACACTGGCACACCAAATTCAGTCATGAAAACCACTATACACAAAGCTGATAATCTTTGCTTTGTTATGCCCTGGCACTAATGCTGATCTTATTTGCATGGCTGTATATCAAGAGTAACTCCAGGATGTCCAGGAAGTTAACCCAGTGTAAAGCTGGTGTCAGATTCCAGCTTCAGGTTCAAGATCATCCGGTTGTGCACCACTGGTTATATGTAAAATAAAGGCAGCTAAAAATGCACCAAGAACACCTGCATCTCCCTATCTTAGCTATTCCAAATTAGGCCTGGTCTATATACACTATTGTGCCCATATGTGTGCTTTAAAACCGATGTATTTAAATCAGTACAACTTTGTGTGTGGACACTCTTAAATTGATTTAAACCTGGCTTATCTCATGTTAGCTTATATTTGTAGGGCTAATTCACCCAAAATAGCCAATATTAAACCAAGTGTGTTTGCCCAGGAGTTTGGCATTTAATTAAAACGGTTTACTTAAATCAGTTGTGTACCAGCCCGTACATAGACAGCTCCCTCAGGGTTCGTAGTCAATGATACTCAGAATGACAGCAAAATTCTTTTAAATAAAGTTCTAGGTTGATTCCCCCTATTCAATGAGAGTTAAATAAGTTCTTGTTCAGTATGAAACTGAGGGTATGTCTACACTACCCTCCTAGTTTGAACTAGGAGGGTAATGTAGGCATACCACACTTGCAAATGAAGCCCGGGATTTGAATTTCCCGGGCTTCATTTGCATAAGCGGGGAGCCGCCATTTTTAAAACCCCGCTGGTTCGAACCCCGTGCAGCGCGGCTACACGGGGCACGAACTAGGTAGTTCGAACTAGGCTTCCTAGTTCGAACTACCATTACTCCTCATTTCACGAAAATTTTAACTGAAATCAAAACCTAGCCTAATACCTGTAGAGGAGCTTAAATATTGTTTAACTTGATAAAATAAATGAAATGTGTTATGTCAAATCCATCCATCCAATAGTTAGGGTACATCTACAGTGCATGCTTATTTCGGAATAAGCTATTCCAGAAGATATATTCCAAAATAGCTTATTTTGAAATACAGTGTCCACACTACAGGAAAGCCTCAAAATTAGTCCGAGGCAGGCTCCCCTAATGTGGATGCCCTATCTCGATTTAGAGCCCCAGAAAGCACTGGGGAGAAATACTTAGAATGGCCCTGGTGAGGAATTATTTCACTTTGTATCTGGTGCTCATCACAATTCATTATAGCCACACAGTGAAAAGACTAGCTAATCCACATATAAGGGACAAGACTAGTGTCAGCATACAACAGGATTCCACTGTCTGTTTCTGCCTCCTTATGATCTTTGACACATTCTTTTTCGTACTGGGTGGCATATGCAGCACAAATCACTTTTACATGGTCACTACTCCTTGCAGGAACATACCATCTCTTGACATTCCAACAGACAAACATTTTTTGAAGCGGCACTGTTGGCATCTGTTTCTATTCATTCTCATTATGGAGCAGTTGTTATTCTTCAAGCACTTCTTATATTGGATGTTTTGCTGAATGCTTCTTCTGAAGAAACCCTGAAGATAAAAATCACAACCTATTACCATACATGTCAAATCTTCCATCAAGACGTGTCCACTTGCAAGTAAGCTCCACTTCCTCATATAAAACTTTCAGAGCCCTGAGAAGTAAGTGCCACTAGTAGCGCACCTCAAACAGTTTTGCTAACAGAGTGAAACATGTGTAAGGACAATTATAGGAGGATTAATACAATAAACTGGTTATAAACTATAATACATTCTAGAAGTTTCCCCGGCAGTCAAAACCTAAAATCCAAGGATCATCATTATCATCATCCTCATTTTACTGATGGGGATACCTGAAGAGCTGAGAGGTTAAGTGACTTACCCAAGATCACACGGGATATCTGTGGCAGAGATGGAAATAGAATCCAGCTCTCCTGACTCCCAGCCCCGTATTTTAGCCACAAGACCACCTCTTGCACAATGTCTAGCCTCCTCCATTCAAGAAGATGGCTTTCACATAATGCCATTATTGCCATAAGCTCCTTCAGAGAATGGATCATTCATGGTGTTCCTGTGTCTGAGAACAGACCTTTAATCAATCAATGGACACACAGGCATCCAATTTAGTTGTTCCCATGGGAAGGCATGGTGTATTCCCAAGCAGCCTGTCTTTTTAAAGCAACCTGAGTATGTTCTGAACTTTCTCAGATTAATGTTTTATTGGATAAATATAAATTTAACTTTTCAACAACATCACTCTTCTTACCTTCTGATTCCAATTATTAAAACACCCAGGCTGCATCTAGACTGGCATGATTTTGCGGAAATACTTTTAACGGAAAAGTTTTTCTGTTAAAAGTATTTCCGCAAAAGCGCATCTAGATTGGCACAGATGCTTTTGCACAAAAAGTGCTTTTCCACAAAAGCATCCGTGGCCAGTCTAGACGTGATTTTGTGCAAGAAAGCCCCAATCGCCATTTTAGCCATCGGGGCTTTTTTCCGCAAAACAGTTCTTCCCTGTCTACACTGGCCCTCTCGAGCAAGTATTCTTGCGCAAGAGGGCTTTTTCCCAAGTGGGAGTGTGAAAGTATTTGCACAAGAAGCACTGATTTTGTACATTACAAAGTCAGTGCTCTTGTGCAAATTCAAGTGGCCAGTGTAGACAGCTGGCAAGTTTTTGCGCAAAAGCATTCGCTTTTGTGCAAAATCTTGCCAGTCTAGACGCACCCCCAGTGATTTCAAAACTAGCTACTATCCACAGCAAAAAGGAGACTACTATTACCTTACCTTACAACCCTCACAAGCATGAACACCGTAGTGAAATCCTGATGCAACATCCCCACAGACTTTACAAAGGAGAACCATGCCATTAAATTCTAGAAATAAACAGAAGAAAGTAGGCATGAAAATCCAATGGGCATTGTCTACACTGGTGGCGGTACGCAGGGTACATGTAGCTACAAACCCCAGTGAAAGAGTGGTTGCGTCCACACCTATTGTGGGGTGCATGGGAGTGAAAGGCTCTGGGCAGAGGGATGTGATTGGGAAAGGCTCCAGTACTATGGAACTACTGAATCTACTTTCCCCACTCTCTTCCCTCTGCAAGAACCTTTTCCCCGCTGTCAGAACTTTCCCAAGAAGTGGGGAAAGGCTCTGACAGCGGGCTACCATGCTGCTACAAACAGCAATGTAGATAAGAAGACATTGTTTGGGCACGTACAGAGCTGTATAGGATCTATACCGTAGGACAGGGGCGAGGAACCTTTTCTGGGTGGAGGCCACTGACCCATAGAAAAATCAGTCCGGGGCCGCAAACAGTGAGAAGCAGAAAAATACCCTCTCTGTGACCCCTGACTGAGAAGGAGAAAGACACTCCCCGCATTCCCCTCACACACCAGAGCCTGGGAGAAGGCAGCCTAGTAGAATTTGTGCTCCAGGACGGCAGCAGTGGGGCTGGAGCACCAGCTCCCCAATGCTTGGGGCAGGGCATATCCAGGCAAGCCAAGGGTTGCATCTGGCCCCTGGGCCTGAGGTTTCTCACCCCTGCCGTAGGGTTCAGGCATGTCTCTATTAGCAGTACCTCATTTCCACTGTTATTTTTACTAGTGCTATCTGGGCGTATGGTGTCTGTATTTTACAATGGCACTGCAAGTGCAGATCTACCCACAGAAGACACTTCCGCCCCTTAAAATGTGCATTGCGAATGAAATACTGCAAGTCAGTTCAATGTACAAGAAAAAAAGAAGACAAAAACAAGAACACAGGAAAACCCTGCACAATTCAGCAGGGATTAATTTAAGAAGAATTGCTGGATAGAATGGGGAGAACATACATACACTGAGCTAACAGGGAATTTTTAATAAATTGCACTCAATGTGGTAGGAAAAAAAGTCTGCTTACATTTATGAATTTTTAAAAGGATCATTTAGGAAACTAGGTCACCAAAGTTTGGGCTCAATCTGTCTTCCCAGCAGGACAAGGAAGCCCATATAAATGTTGCAGTTTTCCCAACTGAGAATAAAGATCTTTTCTTAAAAACAGAAATATTAAAAGACACTGTTAACTTCAAAGTCACATGTTGCAAACAATAAGTTACTTTACCCTTTTTACTGATAAAAAGTTTGGCCACATCCTGCAGCTGGCTCCATACAGGCAGACCTCCACAGCCACTTAGAACCTCCCCATTGGAACGCATTTGCAGAAACAGAGCTTTATATCAGGGGTCTCAAACTCCCAGCCTGTGTGCCATCCACGCCCTGAGTGATTGCACAGTCCCCTAAGGGCCAGTACACTCTGCTTCTGCTGTGCTTCCAGTTGTAACAGGGAGTGTGGTGGGAGGGCACCCAACCACTGCTGTTGTGCTGCACTAAGCCACCCCCCGGTGATCCCTGAAGCCACGTCCTTGTGGATGGGATTCCATAGATGGAGAGAGCAAGACAATGGCGGGAAGGGGTGGGGATTGGGGGCCGGTAATGGTCAGGCCTCCCCCAGTCCACCAGGAGGCTCAGGCTGGATTGAGCAATCACTCCAGTTGGGCATGTCCCAGGGGCTGAGAGCATTAGACCCCTGCCTTACATTTTTAGAAGTGAAAGAATTTTCTAAGTCCTTGACACTCTCTATGCTCTTTCTTTATGTTTTGCATGTTTTATTCCAGCTTGGATAGTAAAGAATGGGACTTCCAAAAATGTTCAGCATTGCCAACCCTGCCAATGATTTCAGAGGAGCAGAGCTGGACTAATGCTAAGCACTAGAGCAGATTGGAAAAATGTCATTGGAACCATTTCCCATCTGTAAATACAGTTTCATTAAAGTTCATATTTAGTCCTAAAGAGAACAATTATCAATCGTGAAATCGTTTGTGAAAGAGAATTTCTGTCCTCTGCAAAGCTCTGCTAAGTACTTTTTAAAAATCCCACACTAAAAATAAGTTTTATCAGTCTCAATTTTCTTTATAGCCAATATCACTTTTCAGGTTCTTATTGCTCGATTCTGCAAACACATAAGTGCACCAGTAGCTTTCTGTACATGAGCAATCCCACTGTGTGCAAATCACAGAGAACAGAGGTCTTTCTGAGATCTTGGATTTATTTATTCTGGGGGAGGTACTTGGGAAAGAAATTTGTTTTTAGTTTAATTTAAAGGATTTTTAAAGTACAATGCTCAAACTTCATAGTACCACCAAAACACAAAATAGGAAGGTTATCCAGAAAGTATGACTTGCAAAAATACTTTTGTCTTGGGTAGAACAACATGTAAATTCAAATTACCTTCTAGTCTAATCCATGTATCATGGCATTTAGTATTTAACATTAACATTCTTGTAAAAAAGCAAAACACAACAACTGGGGATCACTTTTAGCTTGGAAAGATTACTTTAAAAAATAATTTATTGCTGAACTTATCAAAGAAGATATAAAACAGAAGCATGGTAACTAAAGAGAGCTGAAGCCTAAAATATAGTTGCCATGAACAGCAACCCTGTAGTTCTGACTACCAACTTTTCCGCAATCTAGATGCAAGCTTTTCCGCAATCTAGACGCGCTTTTCCGCAAAAAAGCCCCGATCGCCATTTTCACGATAGGGGCTTTTTTGCGCAAAACAAAACTGAGCTGTCTACACTGCCCCTTTAGCGCAAAAGCTTTGCGTAAAAGGGACTTCTGCCCGAACGGGAGCAGCATAGTGTTTCCACAAGAAGCACTGATTTCAGATGGTAGGAAGTCAGTGTTCTTGCAGAAATTCAAGCAGCCAGTGTAGACAGCTGGCAAGTTTTTCCACAAAAGCAGCTGATTTTGCGGAAAAACTTGCCAGTCTAGATGCAGCCAAAATGTCTTGTAGCTGGAACTTAGCGCACAAGTTCTGAACATATTTTTAGTCATGCAAGTCGGGAGCAGATCCTGGTGAACAAAACTGAGTGCCTGAACAATGGCTTGAGCAAAGATGTGCTAAGTTTGAGACTGTGGACTAAATTGTCTTTTAAAACAACATTTGGCCAGTTTCAGGTAAGGGAGCACAAAGAGAGCCTTTGTTTTAGCACTTACATCATTTCAAAACTGCTGGGGGGGGTTTATAAAAAATTAAGAGTTCTTCATTTAAACTTACTTGTGGGCCAAAGGACAAAATGGCCTGTTGGCACCACTTGGCACTGCGAGGAAGCAGTTCCATATCTGGGATGGCATCAGTGCCTTTCATATCCTGGATCAGTAAAACTCAGGCACATAGTAGAGGTGATGAGCATGAGCTTAAGAAGTGGGGTTGAAAAAAGATTGGCAAGACGGCTGATTCAGGCTGAAGTTGTGGCTTCTGTTTAGCAAGAGGCTGTTTGCTCAACATCTTGGCCAGAAGATGAGCACCATAGCTACTGCTGTCTAGAAGGAAGGAAGTTAAGAGATTAAAGCATGGAGGGAAAATCATGGTCTCCAGAATGCAGGCTGCGGATGTCCATAGGCCAGGTAAGACCAACCACCAGTCTGAGATAGTGGAGTATGACCATGCATGTTTATCTGCCCGATGATACCCCAAAATATACATACTTGTAAGTCCACCATGGCCCTTGGTCAATCCAGCAGCACTCGACCGGCTTGTTTTAACGGCACTGTCCATCCGATCATTCTTTGATGCGCCATCAGAACCCTCGCTGCTCCTACTGTTATAGCTGCTCTCAGAGGAGGAACTGTTTGGCGAAGACGGTACAGGTGAAGAGGATGACTGGAAACTGCTCTCTGAGCTCTCACTGTGACAAGAGGCTGGGCTAGATGCTGAGCTCGAGCTGATGTAAGCAATCACACCCCCTGGGGGAAGGGAAAGAAAAGAATGTAGTGATGACATAGCAAATGACTGTACACATCTTGCAAGTGATCCATTTCCTGAGCCAGCACCACCTCACACAGCATGCCATGTGTCCTTCAAACCCCTTCTTCCAAGCTCATTTTCTTCCATTAGCTCTCCAAGACTGACCTCCACTTCCACCTAATTTTCTCTTGCCCTCATATTTGACCTTCTAAAATGGAAAATAAGATTAGGGAGCATGAATGGGATCAACAGCAAGCCCAAGACGCTTGCATTTGACATGGTGGGTGATTGGGGGGGGAGTCAGTGGAAGGACTCAAAGCAGGGAGCATATAAACCCATCAAAACATGATCTCAGCAGCAGTGTTCTGAATGGAGTTTAGCATAGCAGGTGCAAACTGGACAGAGAGAAATGACTGGATCTTAAAGGAATTAAGGAGATAGAAGCAGAGGTCATCTATATTAGGGGAAAAGGACAAAAGTGAAAGATGACTCCCAAGATGCAGGCCTGAGATAGGGAGGAAGTCAACGATCTCCACAATAATGGAGAAAGGGGAAGGAGTGCGAAAGTAAGGAGTTCGGTCCTGGCCTGGTTTTGTCTTAAGTACAACTTGTGACATTAAAACTCTTTGTAGCCCATTTAAATATAGTTACTTCAGTTGCAGGGTTGCTCTTTATAAGGCACTGCACTTCCACCTCTGGGGAAGACTGTGTAGTCTTAAACTGCTGAGATACTTTTAGAGACAGCTGCTTATTGCTCTCTTTTAAGCATGGAAACTGATTTGGTTTTCCACAGGGTCCGTTCCCCAAGCTATATGCCAGTGGAAGGGCCTTGGAAGGGACACCAATGATTTTTTTCTTTTGAGAAACAAGTCAGCTGTCATTTCAAAGACCTGATATTTTAAAAGCCATATACAAAGTATTTGCTATTTCACACTGAAATTAGTAAGTGTAAAAGCTCACTGGCAAAAGCCCAGCTATTTAAAACCTGTGTTTAATTCCTCCTCTGTTCCTTCTGTATTGCTGTGGAAGATCCCTTCAGGTTATAATTCATTACATACTAGAATACGATAATACATATGCCTTAAGTCGCTAAGGCTTCAAAAGCTACAAATGACAAAGGAATGCTTGTTCAACAGATTAACTTCGTACAGCAGGTCCTGTGTCATACCGCCTTATGTTAATTATAGCATATTTGAGAATAAATGCTTCCACTCCATCCAATGCCAGTCTATTATATCTTGGTGTCAATTCCTAGAACACTGAATGATCCTATATACAATACAAATTGCAATACTTGGTACAAGAGCCAAAGACAGTAACTGAATTCCATTGCTTTTGTAAACTGAATTGAACCTCTTTGCATGGTTGTAGAAGCTTTACTGGACCTATTTTACTTTTTCACGGCTGAGAAAAACATTAAAATAAATTCAAACATAAATCTTCCATTCACCCTGTAAAGAGCTTTTATATTCTACCTAGTCCTAGGGATGTTAGATAGCAGGTATTTGAATAGTTGTGTAACCGCATGACATTTTTGTGGTTACACAACTATTTGGTAGTCCCCTTCGGGTGGGGCCAGCAGCCAATGTGCTCCTGATGCCACTCCTGGGGAGCCCCCTACCATCCTGCGCTGCTGCCTCTGTGTCAGAGGCAGTAGTGCGGAGGGCCAGGCAAGGGCCAGTCTGCTAGGGGAGCCAATTTAAAAACCAGCCTCCTCGCAGACTGGCTGCCTGCTGTCCCACGCTGCTGCCTCTGATACAGAGGCAGCAGCGCAGGGTGGCAACAGCTCCTTTCTGTGGTGGGTCAAAGTTCTCCAAGGACAGAGACTGCCCCAAGGGATGCAGGGCAGCCTCTATCTACTGGGGAACTCAGACCCCCTTAGGGTATGTCTACACTACCCCGCTAGTTCAAACTAGCGGGGGTAATGTAGTCATCCGCAGTTGCAAATGAAGCCCGGGATTTGAATTTCCCGTGCTTCATTTGCATGAAGCCGGACGGCGCCATTTTTAAATGCCGGCTAGTTCGAACCCCGTGCCGCGTGGCTACACGCGGCA